ACTTGTGGTGTTGCATCTCAGAGGCAGAATCATAACTCCCTTCACGAGGATGATCAGAACTCTCTTCAGCAGGAAGATTGTCGCGTTTCCTACAGCCTTGCACCCTGCATATCATATAGTAAGCATGCCAAAATGAGTTGATATAATTCCCGACAAACGTCTCAGACTCCTCCCTAAACATCCATGTATCGTACAAATTTATGGAACACAATAGTTCTGCTTTTGCTGATAACCATTGCCACTATGTTTTGATATGTGAAAAGAAAAATAAAAAAAAAAAAAAGATCATCTCGAATTTAACAAAAGAAAATGAACAAAACACATATATTAAACAAAATGCTCTGTCAAAACCGCCTGAAGAGTACTGATCGGCCATAGAGATTGGACCATATCAAAACATTTCAAAATGCAGAGATATTGACAGAAATTAAGTTGCAACAGAGTTCTATATTTTCAAAATTTCAAAGCGTGGATCATATTTCTCAACATACACATCAACTTCCACAAATTGAAAGCAAACAGTAAACTTGTAACCGAAAAATGCAATTAAATCTATGCATGTATATAAGTGAAGAAAAATTGCAGTACCTCTTCACCTCCTCTGCCCTTGAAACATTATAGAGTGAAACAAAGCAGGGACTGTAACCAATTGCATGAAACTGATTTCGGGTCTTAGTAATCCTAGTTTCTCTGAGACTCATCCTTTTCTGGTTATAGCAAACCACAGCCCAATCATTGTAAGACATTACAATTTCCCCATTTCTCAAAAACACCATGGGTTCATACAAATCGCAACTAAGTTCTCTCGGATACAAGTTTTCGATAACAAGAGTTTTAGTCCAAGACTCTCGGATACCATACTCCCTCATAACCCACATAACAAATTTACTAGAATCGTCCCCAAACACACACAAAACGAGACAACCTTCCAACACTCCCAACTTCAAACAGTCTGAAATTTGCTTCTCCAGCGGTCCAAAGTAGCTCGGTGGGGCAATTGCCTGAAACTGTTCCCCTTCAAAGTTGAAGGAATTTATAAGCTCAGAAACATCGCTACCACGAGAAACCCAATGCAGAGCTCCATGAAGATAAGCATTGAAGGGCAACTGACAACCAAGGCTCCCAGAAGCACTTCCCATGCTTCTCCGAACCCCTGTACCAATGATGTATATCTCAGCTTCATAGCTGTACTTATCATTCCTGATGGGTTCACTCAACGGAACAAACGTTTGCAACGCCTTATACTCGTTAGTCCCAACACTAAATCCAAGTCCAATGGAGGTAAAATTAGGCCTAGCCCTATCGCTCCGCGGCACGGTGATGAACTCACCCAAAATTGGATTGCAGACATACAAAAGGTCCCCTCTTTCGGGTCCGGACAAGCAAACTAAACCATTGCAAGAGTTTATCAGATTAAATTCAGAAATGGGCAGGCTAAATTTGGGGGTAAACCTCAGTTTTTCGTAGCGAAAGCGAGAACCGGAGGATTCCTCAATCCGGGTAAAATCGAGCCTTCTTGTTATGCTTTTGGGAGGGAAGGTCTTGATCACTCAAAGAAGGGAAAATTGAGGGTCGGAAATTAGAGTAAGCCAGGATTTGCAAACGCACCTGCAGTCGAAGAGGGTTTTGATGGGAGCCTTGAGAGGATGTCCATGACTATAGACCGCTGGAGGAGTTGAAATTTGGAGGGAAGTCTGGGCGGCTGCCATTGCCGTCGTTGTTGTTGTTGGTTGCGGGCCGTCGGCGGTGGTGTATCTGCTGCTGCTGCTCTTTTGTTTGGATTCGTGGGGCTTTTCCCTTTCCTTACTCTCGGCATTTTTTATTTCCGGCGGCGGAGGGAAATGAGGAGGCAATTCGCCGTGAAAGTGAGAGGTTGGGCCGGTGTCCTTCACTTGTGCGCTTGGTTTACCAGTTGGACTAGTAAAGACTTTCGAGTTTCGAGTCAGCAATTTTTATATTATTTTATTAGATTAGAAAGTACACGAAATTCGAATCTCAACCGTAATGCAAGAACAACGCTTTTTTTCCACGTTTGTTTTTAAATTTTCGTTTTAACAACAAACTAAAGTGCAGAGCAAAAGCAGCTTGATCTGGGATGATGAAGACTTGATAACCGAATAATTTTCACGAAGAATAATTTTCACAATGAAATGCTCGACGGGAATTCAGTTTGTTTTCCAAATTTCCCATCAAATAATTGCTTAAACTTGGCACTTTTGAGGCCGATTCTACGGTACCTACATGCACCTAGTACCGATGTTTTTTAAGGCCGTTAGATCAAACCAACTTTCCAATGTGCAACGGCACTCAGTACCTGTAGGTGCTGAAGAAAAATCACATTTGACACAATCCAATGTTGTTAGAGCATTCCCACCGTAGCAAATTGCTCGGGGGACAGTGTCCAAAACAAAGGCCCGAGGGCCGGTGGTAGGCCTCCAGCGTGAGGCAGCCCGGTGGAAGGGGGAGGCCCGAGCAAAGGGCCCGTGAGGGATTGCCAGCCCTTGAGCCCGAGGTGGGAGTGACGCAAGGCTAACGCCAGGGTGGCGTCAGCGTATTATTTAATTTTTTTTGTGTCAGGCGCGTGCACCCCACCCGCGCGTGGGGGCGCGTCCCGACACAATAATCAGAAAAAAAAGGGTTATGTCAGTTACCGTTGGGAAGCCACGTGGCTTCCCACGGTGCGTTAGATCCTAACGGTCACTTAATGTGGACCGTTAGATCTCAACAGTAAAAAAAAAAAAAATGTCAGATTTAATATCCACCGTTCGATCTGAGATCAACGGTGGATATTAAAATGCTTTATAAATTAAAAAATAAATGAAAAAATAGTTTAAAAAATCTGAAAAGTTACCGTTGTGACACGTGGCACAATCTGGAGCGTTGGAATTCAAATTTTTTTATATTCAACGGCAGAGATTAATTAATTGAATAAAAATTTAAAAAAAATTGTAAAAAATTCAAAAAAATTCAAAAAAATATCTGAAAAATCTGAAAAAAATTGTAAAAAAAATTGTTTTTACTTTTCTATAAATACCTTCTCATTATCATCTACCTTCACAACAATTTCATATTTTCTCAACTACTTTCAATCACATTCCTTTCTTTGTCTCAAAGTTTGAATCCATTTTTTTTCAACAAAATGACCACTGGTGCAGGTACGAATTGGTCGCTTATTGAAGATGTTGCGTTGTGTACTAGCTGGGTTGAAGTTACTCATAATTCGCTTACGGGTAATGAGATGCAGTTGCGAGAAATGTGGAGTCTTATTCATACCAATTATCTTGAGAAAATTGGTGGGAAAAGAACCAAAGAATCGATGTCCAGTCGTTGGAAATTACTTAGCCAATCGTTTAGTACGTGGAGAGACGCTTTGGCACAAGCTAGTAGTAATATTCGAAGTGGGGAAAATTACTCGGATATGGTAACAAGATATTATTTATTTGATACCCAAATTTACATTATAATTATTTGTTTGTATTATTTATTTGTTATCTATATAATTTATTATTTATTGTTTGTATTATTTATTTGTTACGTACAAAATTTATTATTTATTGTTACTTATTTGTTACATTATAATTATGTTGTTTGTTACATTATAATTATGTTGTTTGTATTATTTATTTGTTACTTATTTTCATTAAAATTAATGTATAATATCACTTACATTAAGAAAAAAAAATGTGTATATTTAAGGTTAAAATAGATTCGATTGCTCCGCAAAACCTCATTAATGTATAATAGATTCGATTGCTCCGCAAAACCTCATCAGGGACTCAAGAATGATTGATTGCCTCATCCTCGTTATCTCATCCACTTGGTCTGCAGATGCTCCATATGCAAGCATCCGCAAGGCAGCAGTAATTTTTTGCTCCGGCAGTAGACCCATAGCACCAAAAGCATCTTTTTTTTGCACAAAATAAGAATCATGGTTGCAAACAGCAATCATGATTTTGTTGAACAAATGTCGTTCCATTCTAAAACGACGTCTAAAGTACGTATCAGGGAATGCATTATTAGGAACAAAATAATCATCCAAGAGTTCCATACCTCGTCGTTGCCTGCTTCTATCAAGGTTTCCGGAACGGCTGGGCCTGGAGATCTGAGCCGCAACTTGGATGACTCGATGGTAATGTGAGGCTCTGCCCCTTCTTACTTCGCCATCTCTCATTTGACGCTCCTCATCTTCTTCCCTCTCATTTCTTACCCCCTGGTGATTGAACATTGATTCTGATTGGTTAAACAAGTCTTCCTCTTCCTGATTCAATTCCCACATCATCCTTGAGGAAGAAGAAAAAGACATTGAAAGAAAGAAACAGAAACTATGAATATTGATACTGATTTTTGTGAATAAGGAAGCAGAAAGTATGAATAATGATAGAGATCTTGAGAATTTTGGTGTGAGATTTGTGAAGATGGATGGTGGATTATATAGAGGATTCAGAAAGGATTAGGTTCTGCATAATGCCACGTGACATGACGTCATTCGTTAAAAATCTGATGGAAATCTATCATCAAAGATTGTTAACAGATTATGACACGTGGCATGCCGTCATTCGTTTAAAATCTGATGGAAATCTATCCTCAAAGATTGTGAACCGATTATGACACGTGGCGCGACGTGATTGGTTAATAATCTTATCAGAAATTCATCACCAATAATTGTATTATTTTGTATTATTTAATAATGATAATGACACGTGGTGCAACGAGAACGATTAAAAATCTTATCCGATATTACATTTAAAATTATTTTGTATTAATTTTATAAATAAAAAAAATACTAATATTTTATTGCCTATTGCCAGGGCTATAGAAGTGTAACGGTGGAGATGCAAAATCTATTGCTAGGGCTACTTACTGTTCATTAAGGGCAATTACTGTTCATTAGGTGGATTGAATAGTGTATTGCCAGGGGGGAGGGCTCCAACGCTGGAGTTGCTCTTACAGGTATAGGCGGGAAAAATTCATCCATGCAACACCCCCAGGCCATGAAACAATAAACTAAAACAAAGAGGTTTTATTGGCACTTTAGCTTAAGATAAAGTATCATAACAAGCGACTCACAAACAGTGCATTTCAGATTAACAATCTTTGTCTTTTCTTCATACACGGCAGAAAGCGCATTAAGGTTTAAGCGTACGAAAGCAGCTTGATCTGAGGAGACGACAACCTCAAAAGACCTCATAGTGCAGACGTTTCAGGAACAAGCTTGATGGAAACGCTGTTGACACAGTGGCGTTCATCTGTCGGCACCTTGTGCCCTTCCCCTTTAAGAACATGTCCCAAGTGACCGCCGCAAGCTGCACATGTGATCTCAGTTCTCCTCCCATCTGGGTCAGGCTGAAGTACATACATAGTTGTTTCAGTTACATCCAATGTCAGCAAAATGCATTAGTTAAAAACAGTAACAAACGACATTTGCATTATCAGCAATAGGAACGCACCGATCGGTTTATGGCTCCAGGCAGACCCTCGTAGAATGCAGGCCAACCGCATCCGGAATCAAACTTGGTAGCTGACTTATAAAGTGGTGTCCCACAACCAGCACATTTGTAAACCCCTTCTTCAAAAACCTTGTCATATTCCCCAGTGAATTTTGGCCTGCACAAATCCAACCGTAAGCAAGTCTAACCTAATCAATTCACACATTGTGCAGATACTAATATCCCCCAACATTGTAATCAAGGCGAGGGGATTATATAACATGTATTATATTGGTAACTGGTCTACAGGAGTAATTTCCTCTTTAATCTATTTCTATTTATACATAAATAGGGGAAATTTGAAAGATTTGGGAAAAGACTCTAAGGTACGGAGTTCTGGGAGCTAACGGACGACTTGACTCAAAACCAAGCGCAAATGGCATTCTAGAAGTCATACAGCTAACCTCACTAAGAGGGATAAGGCTTTGTTGTTGTTATTGTAGCGAAATTTTAGTCATGGTAAGGACTTTTAACCAAATTTTGTATCTTTCTGAAACTTGACCACTTGATGATTCTCGAGTGTAGTTCAATCACCGCTGGAGAGGCCTTGAATGGGATCTTAAAAGAACGAAAAAAAGTGTAAAGGTCCTCAATGTGTTAACAAAAAACGAACATAAAAACTAAAAACTAAAAACGAAATGATTATCAAACGGCTCTTAGTTTTGCAAGTAGACTAAAAAACAGTTGAATACCACTAGTAAACAAGTAAACACTAAAACCCTTCATGGGTCTTCTTCTACCAATTGGTCACAGATGCTACTTTTCTGTGGCTAACAAATTATTAGACGTGGAATTTTTTGTACAACCTTGCAATTCATAACATGTTTTTATGAGTTAAATCAACAAGAACACAAAAAAATTATCAGAGAAACGGAAGATTTAAACACAATATTGAATATTCCATGCAAGAACAACAAAATCCATAGATTTCTTCAATCAACCAGACCAATCACAAAATCCAGAGAAAAGATCAGTACCCGTCAAAATCCAAACAGCACATCAGACATAGCTAAATAGATCACAGTATAAAATATGAAGACCATAATTAGAAATAGGAACAGGCAGAAAAGAAGAGAGAGAGAGAGAGAGAGAGAGAGAGAGAGAGAGAGAGAGAAGAATTACTCAGTTCCTTTCTCGCGTAGAATCCTGAACTGCTCCGGGGAGAGAACAGCCCGCCATTCTTCCTCAGTTTTCTGAACTGGCCCTGGTGGTGCAAGTGCGGGTGCAGCCATGTCCTTCACTCTCCTCACTGATTTTTTTTGATATAGACTTATGTGGAAATTCCAACATTGAAAATGGACGGAAAATCAATCAAATCGCCCGTTAGATCATCTCCAGAAGATTCCAAATTAGTAGAGGATTTTCGTCGAAAACAAGGCACACCAAATATCAGAGGTCATTTTATTAAAATTAGTATATACTTATCATACATCTAATTATTTGTCATATATTCTTTCACAACTCTGATTAACTTTCACGTTAAATATTATTTTTTTAATTTAAAAAAAATAACCAAAATTAAGTGAAAAAACATGTGACAAATGTTTAGATGCATGATGAGAAATTTTTTTTAATTATTAAATTTTCTAGCTGAGTGAATTGATTAATTATTAAAAGGTAATGCTAGTCACACTTTTTATTTTCTCACACTCCTTATTTTTTGTCGTTTGATCGAAAGAATTGAAAAAATTTATAGTACAAAAATTAATAAAAACATGTGTGAGAAGTAAAAAAAAAGTGTAAATAGTATCACCCATTATCTTTTCTTAAAAAAATAATCACCACTCATTATTGAATTCAAAACATTTAATAATCAATTTAAATTAATTTAAATATGCTATCAATTTTGAAAGTAAAATAGCTATTGTTACCTGCACTTTGCCGCGAGATTAAAAATTTTATGAAACATTATGGTTAAAATATATAAAAGATTATGCCGTAGAAGATACTATTAGTCTATTGCATTGGAAAAGTTAGGAAGATTATTACATACAAAATATTTAATTGATACAATCCACATATAACTTTTGGCTATCTATGCACAGAAAAGATTATTCTACTAAAGTAGCTTATGTGGTTTTCGGTTGATAGTAGTACTTGTATACAAACCGACTACAAAAAGTTGGGCTATTTACATGCACAAAATATAAGGAATATTCTTTCATTGGCATTAATAAAATATGACAAAAGTTGTCTACTGGAACACCAAAGCTCCCGTCCAGGACTCTTGATTGTCAGAAAAGCAATTTAAACCAATTCAAAGACCAAAACCCTTTCAAAGCTCCGTCCAGTACTCTTGGTTGTCAAAAATGCACACAAAGCTTCCGTCCAGTACTCTTGATTGTCAAAAAATGCACACAAAGCTTCCGTCCAGTACTCTTGCTCATTTCTAATTATGAATTCTCTTGGGACTCCAATCTTCTTATCCCAATAAACGACAAAATGAGACGCATCTGCTGTTATGGGGGTGATTGTGGTAACCCAATTTTCCTATTATGCTGCGTTTCCTAACTTGCCTTGCAACCAAGTTTCTACAAAAACAGATTGAATTCAAGAAAGTAATTAAACCAAGGCATAAGAGATTATAAGAAAAAGTACATAAAATATAAATCATATATACCACTTATTATACTACTTTGTATTCCGAATGCACCTAAAAATATATCGATTTCTAGTGAACGTTCAGTTCCAATTAATCCCACTTTAGTTTCTTTCAAACCCTTCAACTTATCCTTAACTTTTTTTTAACAACATCATAATTAAGAGTTAGCTTACATCACATCCTTCAACCAATCCCATCCATACCATTCATAATCCCAATTTTACCCTCTTAAAACCCTTGAACCTAACCTTGACTTTGTTTTTACAGCTTAGTTTCATTTAAAAGCTTATTTCTCCACAAAATCATAATGAGTTTCTGTCTTACATCACATTTTAAACTCTTGATAAATTAATCTACATCTTAAATCAGAAGGAACCTCCAAATCTGGAAATATGAGTAAAAAAAATGTTTAGTAAAAGAATATGCCAATTCTAATTAAGAACTGTTAATCAACATATGAGTTTTTTCCAACTTCAAACACAGAACCAACAGCAAGAATCCAATTGGAAATAGAATAGACCAAACAGACCATGAAGATTATACAATCAGAAGATATATTTGAAGGAGAAGAGTTCATTACACAGTGTGATGACAGCCGAGTAGCAACAAAAAACTGAAAAGAGCGAAGAACTTGGCCTCAAATTTTCTCTAGAATAATTGAAGGAATAAATAAACTTCACATGTAGGAGTGATGATGTTATTTTCTCTTAAAATACACTATTTCTCTAGACAAATACACTATATCTCTTAAAATATTAAAAATAAAGTATGCGCATTTTATTCATATTTCTATTCATATCATAAACGTAAACCTCAAACCACAACTCATGGAACATCTTTTCTTATTAAACCCTAGAACACATTTTAAAAATTTTAAAATAGTTCTCATTTTTTGTTTTCTTTGCTAAATTCATTCATTTAAATTCAGTTTATAAATTTTCACATCAATCTTTAGAAAGTAATTTTTCATGTAATAATTTAAAATATGTTGTATAAAACATACCTATTGCTTCCACTTAAGAGAACTGATAACACAAAATGAATTAAACTGGGAGGTTAAAGTAAGTTCTCTTACCAAATAACTAAAGCCAAATTGACACAGTATCAATGTTGCATTTTCACAGGTACACCATTAGCAACGTTTCTTTCGTGATCCAAACATAAACATGAATCAATTAAAAGCGTTAAAAGATGGGCAAACGTTAAACATTGGAAAATGACATTGAAAAAGAAGCTATGTTAAATATTGCAGGTATTATATTTACAATTCTATTTTTAAATAAATGAAAATATATTATTATGATAATAAAATGCATAAACATTTTATTTCCTTGCAACTAATACAACGATACATAAAACACACTGCATTCAATTCGGAATGTGAAAACAAATAATTCTAAAAATTCTAATTCCTTTCTACCACACGAAAAATCCAATTACTCTGACTTGAAACAAAGTAACTCGGAAAGCATTATACTTTATCATATTTCATCCAAAAATTGTCCACAAAATAAATATTTCACCGAATCAAAAAGAACATCAAAATATTATTGAAAAGAAGGTACATCTTAAATTTCGAATGGCATTCAATGTGTTCTGGTTTCTAGTTTCTTGATAGACAATAAATTAAATCCTCTTAAATGTGTTCTAGTTTCTTGCTAGGTAATAATATGTGCATGCATTCCTAATATATATTATCATTTAGGAATTTCTATCTTTAATTGAAGAGGAAATAATGTATGCATGCATTCATGTTAGCATATATCTTCTCTATAAAACCATGATTTCCAAATAATGTCAAATGGATTATAAGTAATGTAAGTAAGTGTTAGAATAAGGGACTAAAAGCATTGTGCATAAATATGTAAAAACTATAAACATAAAACATGTACAGAGTATTTATACAAAATATTTAGTAGTTGTTGACAACTCCAATATACATATATAGAGTTATTCAAAATATAGTTGATCCTATTTTACTGATGTACTTTAAAGAATATAGTGCTTTGACTACTGAGTAGTGATTGGCAGCTAGATCCTTCCAACCCATCTGAATATAGTGCTTTGACTACCGAGCAGTGGTTGGCAGCTCGATCCTTCCAACCCATCTCATCCGGAAGGAATACGTGAACAATGCTGCATCCCTCTGTTTGTAATGATAATCTGAGTTGGGAAGGAAGCCTTTCACCAGCCTAATGTAAAAATAAGTCCAAGCAAATAAGGAGTAAAATAATTGCGACATGCTGTGCAAAGATAAGATGCTAAACGACATACGTTGTTTGATCCAAAAGCGCTAGTGGCAATTCTCGATGAGGCACCACAAACAGGTCAGGCTTAAACATTATCTCATTTTGTATATACGCCAAAATCAGTTTGTGTTGATGAACCATAATCTGATTCTTATTCAATGCACAAATAATAAATATACAAATCTGTTAACCTTTAGTTAACCCTGGACATGTGCTCGGAAGAGGGCTCTTCCAATATCCTGAAATCATGTCAAAAGTTAGAAAGGAGTAAGAAAAAACTAATGTAAGAGTTAAGGATAGGCAAATACTCATCGGTTATGGGTAACCGCGGTTATCCGTCCATTTAAATTTCGCGGTTATGGTTATGGGTAATTGTTTAGATAATTAAATGGTTATGAGTATAACCATTACCCGTAAAATTTAAATGAACGGTTATGGGTATTAACCACGATTATAATGGTTACCGTTTACCCGTTTATTTTAATAGATATATAAAATTAAAAAAACAGAAAACCTAATTTGTAACCTTTTCGTTCTCTCCGCCAGGACGCCAGGACTAGACTCCGCCGTCCGTCAGCCGCTTGTCTCTCTCTCCGCGGTGCTCCCTCTCATCTCTCTCCTCGCTTGTCTCTCTCTCCTCCTCGCTGCTCCCTCATCTCCCTCGCTCATCTCTCTCTCCTCGCTGCCCTCTCTCTCATCGCTGCTCTGCTCTCTTCCCTTGTTGCTCATGTCAATGCCCCATCTCGATCTCCCCCCACCCACCCTTCAAGGTGCGTTTTACCCTCAAATTTCTTACTTAACCTGATTAATTACTGATTTGTTTGTTAATTTATTGAAAATCTCTTATTTTTAGGGTTTAGTGATGCAGGGTATTGTTTAATTTTTTTGATTGAAAATTAGGGAAGTCATATTACTGATTGAAAATCATATTCCAATTGAAATGAGGGAAGACTGAAAACTGAAGACTGAATATTCTGATTGAAAATATTGTAAAACTAGGTTGATATTTGTAAAACTAGTTTGAATTCACAAACTAGTTTGGAGTTACTCTTTATTTCTGTTTTTTTACTTTGGAGTTATTGGTTTACCATTAGCCTTGATAATCTCTATTTAGCGTAATTTTAATCTTTATTCGGCCACGACTTCTTCTATATAAACCCTAGAGGCAGCTCTCCTCATTAGTTTTGATGAACCAGAAAATCAATACAGAAAACTAGGCAGCATATTTCAAGCATTCAGGTAATTCTGTTATCAGAGGCTTGTCATCTTACCATAGATTTGACATTTTGGGCTATAATGGTGATGTGCATCATAGTAGCTAGGTGATGAATCTGACTGGTATGTTTAATTCACTTTTAAATTGCTGCCATGGGAACCGGTTGTGGACCTGTGGTACGAATACGATGTATAATCTGAGGTCACATTCACTAGTTATACATTACTTAATGCGTTCTCTTCTAGCTGTCCTTTTTTATCCTTCATACATATTTCCTCCTATATGCCAACACCTCTGGTTAAAAACATTTCTTTTGGAATACTAAGTCAATTTATACATTTCTTTTGTAGGCTTCTCTTAGTGACAACGAGTCGATAAGACTTTGTAATTGAATGTGCTTAAAGCATTAGTGTTTGAAAGGGTTTAGTTTTGAAATATTTTGAAGCTTTGAATCATCTAGTATTCAAGATAATGACTCCCTTGAGTTTTTAGAAGCTTCACTTTGTAATCATATGGATGTTATAATTGAATACTTGCTTGGGTATGGAAGAAAAATATGTTGAAAAAACATGAATTTTCTTTTCAATATGCTTGCTCAAGTAATGAGAGGTATTTTGTTAGTAAAAAATCAATTATTAGCAAATATATTATATTACCTTGATTGATTAAAACTATCGTTCGTCTTTATTATTTCAATTATCGGAGTTGTATACAATTACGGTTAAAAAAAATACGTAAATAGGCACAAAAAGTGGTAAATGGGTTAAAAAATGAATAAATGGGTAAACGGGTATGGATAAACAGGTATACAGTTACGATTAAATGGGTATGCAGTTATAGTTATGGTTAATCGTTTATAAACTGTTATGGGTATGGGCATAACCGTTTAGGCAATTACCTAACGGGTAAACAATTATGCGGGTACGTGTATAAATGGTTATGGGTAAATAATCGTGGTTACCCGTCCGCCATAACCATTGCCCATCCCTACTAAGAGCTTTGTAAAATTGGGGCAGAGCATATTGCCTTATAAGGCCTCTTTTAAAATAGGTGGACCAAGCTCTGTTGCCATGGTTTCATCATCCAATTTGTCAACCATTTGAAAAATGAAGAGTCAGTATCTACATAAGTAAAATCTGAAAAGTAATAGCAACAAATGAACCGGTTGGTTTAAAACAACATCTAGCTAAGACAACATTCATACCTCCATATAAGTCACAACTTCTGACATAAAGAACAGTGAAATAAGGAATTCCTATCAAAGTTCCTTTTCGGAGATCCACCAGCCCCTCTCGAAAATCCCACTTCTATGAAAAGGAAGTTAAGGCACACTATAAAATGTACTACAACAGCTTTTATCAAAAATAATATTCTAAAAAGCTAAATGCTCGAAGAATCTAAGAAGAAGCGTGAAACTAATACACAAATACAATGCATATATAGGGATTGTCCAGAGATCACTGAAAACTATATGCTTGACAATCTTTGAAGAAAAATATTATTGGAATTATTGCGTACTTTTCCTTTACATGTACACCAAAAGCTCTCTGACACTTGCATGAGCAGAGCTCTCTTTTGGGTTCTTTCACCTTAAGGGCTTAATCTAAGGAGATTGTTGTTTTGTGGTTGCCTAGCTCTTCATAAGAGTCTTTCACTTGTAATATCAGTACACACTTTAATCAATACATATACACATTGAAATCTAACAGAGTCATTTTATCAAACAGTTAGTAAGAAAACCTGGAATATGAAGACTTAGACAGTCAAACAGAGCCATCAAAGATGCTTACTTCCCAACCTCTAAAGCCCCTCAATCTGCATTCCATTTGACGCCAAAACAGTGAGAAAACAAAAAAAAAAAAACAAAACAAAAAACCAACATCAACCAACACAACAGCCCAATTCAAAGGTTTCTCCCACAGAAAATTCTACATTACACAAATTTATTTAACTAGAACCAAATAAAATTATAACGTTTAATTTAAAATTGCAGTGATGTGTTAACAGAGACTAAGGGAGACTAAGGGAGTGTATTCAATTGGGATTTTAAGAGATGTTAATTCTTTTAATGAATTTAAGAGTATTCAATTAGAATTTTAAGTAATTCTTTAAAATTCAATGTGTATTCAATCAGGATTTTAAGATAGTTTATTAAAATTCTTAAAAATTCAACTGTATTCAATTAGAATTTTAAAGAAGTTTATAACATTTTAGGTATATTTAATTAGAATTTTAATTTAAAGAATATGAAAAAGTTAAGGAATTAAAAGGTCTTGAAAATATTTTGTAGTGTATTAAAATCCTTAAGAATCCAATTAAAATTTTAAAAAGTTTATAACATTTTAGATGTATTTAATTAGAATTTTAATTTAAAAAATATGGATAAGTTAAGGAATTAGAGAGTCTTGAAAAAAAGCGCTAAAACAAAACACCACCTTTAACGCCCTTTTTCTTTTTCTCTTCAGCTTCTTCGATTTACAGCCCTTTTTTTCCAGATTTTGCTTCCCCCCCCCCAAAAAAAACAATTTTTTTCTCTTTTGGCTGCTCAATTTACTCTTAACCAAGATTTTTCAAGAATCAGAAAAAACCTAAAAAATTCTCAAACGCACCCAAAATTTGAAGCTGCTTTAATCCAACTTACCATGAAATTACAGCCACTTGCGAAACCTTCTTCAAATGAGGACGGAACCGGCAACACAGATGCGTTTCTCTGAAAATTACTAATAAAACTGGAATCGGCGCAGCTAATGGAAGACCAGTGGAAGCCAACAAAGAAGGTCAGGTTTGTGAGAAACAAATGGAACCCAACCATTCGAAGATGACTGACGCGTTGAAAGACGATGGCCGATGAAGGTTGGTTGATGAACACGTGGGCAGCGGGGACAGAAGCTTTCATTGACGAATCAGGTCATGCAACATTTGATTTGAACTTTTTGTCATCGGTTATGTGATGCGGCCCGTGTAACTGAAGGCCCGATAGTTCCAAATGGGCTGAGTGGGGTTTGAATATGGCCCATTCTCCACATCGTTACTTCGCGCTTCATGCTTTCAAGTTTCAAAGCTCGGAACTTGCTGGCTTTCTCTGCGACTTCAAAAGTTTGAAAAAAAGGAAAGAGAGCAAAACCATCTGCAAGAGAAGACACACTCTAACCACACAAATGTAGGCAAGGCGTCAGGACCAACAGGACCGCCGGGATCGTAGCCACTTTTCGGAAACTTTGGCTGCGGTCGGCCGCCTTCGCCTTCTCCTCCGACCACCCCTCCTTTTTCCGTCGCTGCTCCGCTGCGTTCTCCGTCCAGGTTCGCTCTCTCAAATTTTGTTCATTGTTGCTCAAATGGGTTTCTTTTGGATATTCGAAACCAATCCAACGTATCAATCTTTTTATTTTTTTGTATTTTACTCTCTAAGAATTTCAGATATTATATTTCACTTTTTCTGGTTTAAGCATACGACAGAAATTTGGATAAATGGGCAGACTTTTGTGCCCAATTTTGTACGAGTAGAAGAGTTTTTTTGAAGAAAAAGAATGCGTTCGGGTGATCGAGTTCAAATTCTTGGGTGCTTGTTGAATCAAATTCTATAAAAATAGCTCATGTCAGCTTTCTAAATCTGTATATCTTCTTTGGGTTTAAGGGCTATGTGCAAGTCTGGATTGATTTGAAAGAGCATTGTAAAAATATATGATTGAATAACAATTGAGCGATTGGGTTCGGTTATGTTAGCGGGGGCTGAAGCTCTAGGTCCTTTGGCCTTTGAAGGAGCTCGTTCTGCTGCGAGTCATCCCTGCAGGAGTCCCAATGCAATCACAAAGTTATTGTTGTATGTTTAATTTATATGCATATGTCATAGCAAAATATGGTGCTGTGATATATTATTGATGTATGAATGTGCTGAGTCACATATAAAAACCTGTGATTGAATAGTCATCGAGCATTTGGGGTTGGTAGAATATTATTGGTGTCTATTTGAACATAGGGGGCCTGAGGCTCCAGGGCAGCTGTATTCTCCTCCCTTAGGCTTTGAAAGAGTTCGTCCTGCTGCGAGTCAACCTTACCCATCTGCAGGAGTCTCTAGGTAAGGACAGCCCTTGTTACAGTAAACATCTAAATTCATTATTATGTTTTTCACTTGGTGTTGTTTGATTTTTGCCATATGTGTCTGTCTCAATGCTGCCACATTCTTATGGTGTATGTGTAATTTATGACACGTCATAGAAAAAAATAGCGTTGTGATATATTATTGATGCATGAATGTGCCTGAGTTATGCTTAAACACCTGTTACTGAATAGCCATTGAGCATTTGGGTTCTGTTATTTATTAAAAACTTAATGATTTTATTTCATCATAGGCGGCCTGAATCTTCAGGGCAGCTGCATTCACCTCCTTTGGCTTTTGAAGGAGCTCGTTCTTCTGCAAGTCATCCTTACCCATCTGCAGGAGTTCATAGGTACGACAACGCCGGTAATTGTACATACATTATTTTGAGTTTAAGATGATTTGAGAAAACCAATTACAATTAGCATCTCTTCTACCCCTTGGTGAGTTACTTTTGCATGTGGTCTTGGGCAATAGAGTGCTTGAGGCTTGTCTGTGTAAAGACAAACACCAACCTATAAGCTTACTGTAGCTTTAAACTAAGGAGCTGGATATACGTTTTGCACGTTTTGACTATAACAGTGTACAAATATTAGTTTTTTCTTTTTTCCTCGTTTCTTTTGAAAGATATACTAGCCGTTGTTAGATGTTTTTTAACTTTATCAAACAAGCATCCTCTGTAATATAATGGTTGTTGTGTATACTTTTCTGATACATGGACAGACCTTTATGTTTAGCAATGGCAACGTGATTCTGTGCTTTACATTTTCATGTATGCATTTATTCGCATGTAAGTCATTTCTGTTTAATTTAACTCCTGTGTTTTATTTTGATTTGTCAGTGGTCCTGTTAAATCAGAAATGTCATAACTCATATTCTTTTGCTTCCAGGTCCACAGAGTCTCGTTCTACTTGGGATGATGGGCAGAGATCCTCCTTTAAGAATTATGATACCCAAGCACATCAAAGGCCACCTGCTGTCACATCATTTATTGTTTCTCGTAATTCTGGAACTAGTGTTACTGCCAAGGTGCCCAGATTCCAAGACACTAAGGGGATCAGTTCGCCACCCTTTCTGTCTAAAGATGTCAATTTTAGAAATTCCACTCAAGGTGCCCGGAAAGTTTAATTCCTTTCTTTCTTGTTAGTTTTTTCATTTTGTTGTCTGTGTTTGATCTTGATGAATTTGCACTTATTTACATAAACTGCATTATGCCAACCTAGTGACTCTAGCTGTCAGAAGTGTGCTTACTTTTCTGCGAATGAAACTGTATTATATGACTGCAAACCTTTTATTTGGCCAGTGTATCAACTTTAGTGATATGATCTATGCTCGTTATATTGATCCATAATGAGGTTAATATGTTTTCTTTACCTCTTCTGAAATGGATAGTTGGTTCGCATATAGGCATGTATTCACCTCTTCTGAAATGGATAGTCGTCGGAAGTTACTTGATCATTGACACGCATCGATCCCGATATCCGAGGGACATCGAGATGGCCACGTGCTGGCCGACCCTCGAGGATGACGCAAGCCATTTAATGAATGCATATGCTGAGAACATGTAAATCATGCGTATAAATTTCGTTCCAACTACATAAAATAATATATTAATATTCAATTGCCAACAATGATAAAGATACTAATAGTGCATAACATGTTGAGAGCATATATCTAATTCAGAATACAACGGAATGTGTTATTACAAGGATGTCAAAGCAGAGATGAAGGTACGATATCACTGGTAGGGGAATACCTCGTAACTCGGATTGTAAAACCTCGTTCCTATATCCTGAGGGGGTGCAAAACAAACATGAGTGGACCAAGTTGATATATATATATATATATATATATATATATATAAAATACTGAAACAATTATCAACATACTAACCCCCAAAGTTTTATGAAAACTCAATAACATAATATGTAATAGGTTTTTCCAAAAACCCTAGTATGCCATAAAACCTTCATTAAACATATATTGTATAGTGTGCTAACTTGTGGTATCAAATTGCGTGTAGGTACTATATTTCTCAGTCCGAAGCCAGTGCATATATCCCTCGGCCTAGAGCCATCTACATATATCTCCTTGGCCCGAAGCCATCTACATATATCTCCATTGGCCCGAAGCCATCTACATATATCTTCCTCGGCTTGAAGCCAGAACAGTGACCGCTAGATAAGCGCAAAACATTGAATATAATATTTCCAAAAATAGGTATATATATCTCAAAACATCTTTATGGCATATGGTCATCCATCATATATACTACAAAGAACAATAGTTTGATAAAGTATGGTATTCCAAAATATTTTCAGTAAAGCATGATAATCATATAATGTAAATCCAATTTACTTATAAAATGTTACCATTAAATCATGCTTTTCATGTATGCATATCTACTATTAAAACATGCATTTTAAAAAGGGTCCACTCACAGATACTTCGTCGTCGAAGAGCCGTACGAAATAGGAATGATGGAATCGCCGCTAATAAATGCACCTAAGCACATAAAGGGTTCAATTAATAAAACTATACTCAAAGGATTGAATTTCGGAAAATAGACGTCATAAATGGATTCAGGATGTCAAAAAACATAAAGGGGGACCTCGAGTACCCCCACACACCGTCGTGGGTCGTCAGAAAAGTTGCTAGAAAATTCTCCAACACCGTCGTGAACTGTGGCGCGTGTACTCCACGCGCCAGCTATGTGCAGCTGGGTTGGATGGTGTTTGGGCCTAGGTTCTTGGGCTTAGGTCCAAAAGGTCTGATCTTCGATTTGGTGGCCTGGGCTTCAAAGCCGAGGCCAAGGGTTATAGGGTTTAAAGTTCAACGGGCTGAAGCCCTTAAGTTTTGGGCCAAGGGTTTAGCAGGCCAATAGCTCAAGTTGGCACTGCCCCAAGGGCCAGTCTATGTGGGTTTGGGCTTAAAGGCCTTTTCCTCTCCAGGAAAGAAGGCCGGAGCCTTCCGAGCTCTAGTCGCCATCAACACTCATCCCTAGGCTATAAACTAGGTACCGAAATGAAGTTAGAGACGAGAGGGAGTGATTAGGTACCTTTGATTTGTGCTTAATTCTTTATAGTTTGATGAAGAGTTGGTGGTTTATCGTGCTTGATTCTTCTTGTGACAAAAAGTAAATTTTAGTAATGGTCCCTTAATTTTAACTCAATTGAATCAATGGTCCCTCAACTAAAAATCCATTACTATTAGTCCTTCAACTCATCAAAACGTGCAGCTATGATCCCTCAACTAAAATCTATTATCATTGGTCCCTCAACTTTAATTCAACTAGAGAAATAATTCCTTAGCTTTTAACCTAATTGGAGTAATGGTCCATCAACTTTAACCCAATTATAGCAATGATCCTTCTATTTTACAAAATTATGACGAAGTTGACAAAAATGACCATAACTACACGTTTTCATGAGTTAAGAGACTCCAATTGTAGCAATGGTCATTTCAACATAATTCATTTGACAAAATTAACGAAAATGACCATAGCTACACATTTTAATGAGTTGAGGGACACCTACCCAGTACTAGTGAAAGTGTCGAGTTATTGTTCAATTCTTGTTTACATAGAGCTTTCTCGCAACTTTATATCTTCTTTCTACTTTGAAAATGAGCAGTTTCGAACACTACCCTTTTATGTGTTTATTGTGACAATAATGGTGTCCAAGACTCTTGGACAAAAATTCTAAGTCATCATAATGAATAAACAACAACAAAAAAGCCTTTTCCCACTAAGTGGGGTTGGCTAGATGAATTCTAGAACGCAATTGCGCTCAGTTTTGTGTCACGTCTTCTGTTCGATCCAAATACTCTAAGTTTTTTCTTAGAGTCTCTTCCAAAGTCCTTCTAGGTCTTCGTCTATTTCTTCAGTCATGAACCTCTGTCCCGTAATCGCATCTTCTAACCAGATCGTCAGTAAGTCTTCGTTTCACATGTCCAAACCACCGTAACCGATTTTCTCTCATCTTTCATTCAATTTCGATTACTCCTACTTTACCTCTGATATTCTCATTCCTAATCTTATCCTTTCTCGTGTGCCCACATATTCAATAAAGTATTATCATCTCCGCTACACTCATTTTATGTACATGTTATGTTTCACCACCCAACATTCTGTGCCATAAAACATTGTCGGTCTTATTGTCATCCTATAAATTTTCCTTTGACCTTCAGTGACATACGACAGTCACACAACACGCCGGATGCACTCTTCTACTTCATCCATCTAGCTTATATTATATAGTTGAGGTCCCCATCCAACTCCCCGTTCTTTTGCAAAATAGATTCTAAGTAGCGAAAACAATCGATCTTTGGTACTCCGTAATGAATAAACGATAGAACAAATTGTATGCAAAGACAATCAAGAAATGGTAACAATTTCATTTATAAATCTAGTCAAAAGTTGATACAAATTGGGAAATCTCGATTGCAGCTCATCTTTTGCTATCCCACTTTCCTCTGTCATTTCTTCCTCCTCTCATTGCAAGCCTTCAAGGCCTGAACTTCTGATCAAAATGTTGTTCACGCAAAATTAAAACAGGAAATTCACAGTTACTGGAAAATGAAATTGAGAAATGAATTGCAAATTAGGAACCCAAATTACGTACCTGGTTGACAAGATTTCCAATTCCTGTCAGTCTTGACAAGGCAATCCTGCAAACCACAGACCGAATTCGGGTTCTCCGTGATTTGGGGTTTAGGGTTTTAGAATTTTAGAATCTAATAAAATTGGGGAAAATAGTTGTTACCTGTAAGGAGAGGTAGAGAACAGAGCATTGGTTGAGCTGTTTTACATTCTCGTCGTCGTCTTCTACGCCTGCGTGGAGAGGTGGTGGTTGCGGCGGTGACGGGTTGCCTTCTTTTGGAATCGGGTGGGACTGGGAATGGTCCATTTTTGGAATTCGGAGAAATTAGGGTTTGGATTTGGAATTTGGTGGAATTGGGGGGTTACGGCTGTCTGATGAGGCAGTAGGGTTTAGGGTTTTAGGGAAATTGAGTTACATAGCGTGTCCGGAGAACACAAACAAGCATTTTTCCAGTCCCAAAACTAACCTGGCCAAACGACAGCGTTTAGATTGAGGCAATTTTTTGGGGGACAAAAAATATAAAGAAAAAGAAGTTGTTTGGAACGTGGTTGTTTTGGCTAAATAATTTATTTTAGTATTACGATTAAGTGAGTGTTGATAACCTTCTCATTTTAACTCATTACACATGTATTATATTAGTATGCAAAATTAATTTTAATTTTAAGTGCTAATAGAAAACACGTGACATAAAAAGAAGTGAAAAAATTGGTAGCATTTTTCTTACGACTAAATGGTTTACATTGCTGTTTTTTTTTTTTTAAATGGACCAAGCCATTTTATAAAACACATGAGAGGCAACCATGGCATCCATCGGATGGTCACAATGTGATTTCCTATTGCTTGAGGGCCAAGTCAAGCGACCATCCATATCTCTCTATGCGTCCATTAAAGGAAATCGAACTAGAGTTTAAAGCGACAAGAGCACTATTCTAGTCGCCCAACTCACTTGTGATCGTAGTCTTATAGATTAATTAGTCACCAAGTTTTAAAATGTCTATTTGACTAAACGAAAATACTAAGATATTATTAAATGAGAAATTAATAAATATTGGTCAATCAAAACGAGCTAACTAGTAAGGTGGAAGTTAGTTGTTTTGCTTCACATAGGGCCCAATGTGGCCTAACCTCTATTAAGTTCCAAACCAAACGAACCAGAACGATATGGTCCCTTCTCGCTTTCTTATATATTCCTATTTTTCATTTTATAAGCCGAGAAAAAAAAAATTAAACTTGAGGCCTTGGACTTAAAATTAAATAATTGTTTTTATTTGAATGATATACACTATTTTTAATTTGGATATATGTCCATTTAGAAGTTACATTTCCTCACATTGTTGAAGTTTTGTGCTTTACAAAAACATATATATAATTTCTTAACTTAATTTCTTTTTTTTTTAATACAAAATTTCTTTAAAATGTATCAAATAATTCAAAATACGATAACAATACGATAACATTCCTTTGAAAAACCAAACAGAAGAATAACTTGAAAGGAAAAAATTGGAAAATGACGATAACTTTTATATAATCATTCAAAATTGATTAAACTACTTGTTAAAAGAGGAAATATAAAATAGAACATTAAAAATAAGCTGGTTGGGATGAGACAAATTATAGCACGCGACACACATGATTACATATACTGATATACAATGCATATCCGTAATATATACGCATAATGAACAAAGGTGAGTAGACAAATAAACAAATAAAAAGGGGTAAAGTGTAATGTATTCCACAAGGTGCATGGACATAACTTGTACATTGCTAAATGATCACGCTATAGGGGAAAACTCCCTCACCTAGTGTAAAAATCAAATATAAATCATGTAAATAAACAAGTTCTGTGTTATATGATGTGATAAAGGACCGATTAAACTTTCAAATAATTCAAAATTGCCTTCATTTTAAAAATATATATTCAAAGCATATCTACATCATTTAAAGAGATACATATTTAAAAAAGTATGTTAACAAAACGCTCCGAAACACCGGTCAAGGGGCTAGTTGTGAAGTAATTCATCTACTTGGGTTGGTGGCTAATTTTTCTTAACTATAATTAGTACAAAAATGAAAATTCATCAAACCTTGGGTTTTTTTTTTTTTTTCTTTCTTTCTTTTTTTGTCGTTGAAAACATTGGTTAATTGGTCTGGTCATGACAAAAAATAATAAAAAATAAAAAAACAAATAAAAAAAAATATGAAATTTACCGCAACGAAACTTTTGAGAGAGACGGACGTTCAAAGCTCTCTTATTTCTCTTTAAGCTAATAATTAGGAAAATAAGAAGAAAAAAAAAAAAAAGCAACTATGAATTCTCCTTGTGATTCTATGGTGTTCTGAGACTGGTTTCTACCTTTGATTGCTCGAACAATTAGCTCAAATCGGGTGCGTCTCGATCGTACATGTCTTCTGATTAATCACCACAAATTCTTGTATTTGTATTGGGGATCTTTAACTTTCATGAACACCAGATTCTGCATTTTATTTTTTGCTCTGATTCTTCTATTTTGATCTAATTTTCCTGATTTTATTTTTGAGATTGTATGGAGTTTCACATTGATAGATCATAATTTTCATCTAAATTCAACTGGGTTTCTTGCAAACGGATTGATTGTTCAGTTTTTTCTTCTGGGTAGTCTTTTTTTTTTCTCTCTCTGATTGATGTGTTCTTGTTGATTTTGGTTCTGGGATGTTAAAAATCGTTAATTTTAATACTGGGATTTAGCTTTTAGTAATCTGGGTTTATTTGGGTTGTTTAGATTGATCAGTTGGTGATGTTGTGAGCTGGATTTTTTTATTGATTGCAGCTACGAATGTTGATTTCAGTAGTTTGTTGTTTGATGGATTTTTTATGGAATTGATGAATTTGGTGTTTTGGTATTGCTTTAAGAACTGATAGATAGAACTGGATGCGTATATGGATTGAATGTATTGAGATTAGATTGTTTTGTGCAGCTGAAATGGCATCAATGGTGGCCAAGGGCAGTAGTAGTTGCACCACCCAAGTCTCTTCCTCAATAGCTGTTCAAGAAAAGGGAAGTAGGAATAAGAGGAAGTTCCGGGCTGATCCGCCTTTAGGTGACCCGAATAAAATTATTCCTTTATCTCAGGCTGAATGCACAAGCTATGAGTTTTCAGCTGAAAAATTCGAAATCAGACAGAGTCATGGACAAATTGGTGTCGGTGACCTGTGCAGTGTTAATCAAGACCATTCTGATGGGTTGAAATTCGACCTTGGATTGTCTAGTGCTGTTGTACCATCCGAGGGTAGCCCAAGCCGGCCCAGAGAGGAACTAGAGGCAGATGAGTTTCAGGATGCCGATTGGAGTGACCTCACAGAAACCCAACTTGAAGAGCTTGTTCTAAGCAATTTGGACATGATTTTCAAAAGTGCAATAAAAAAGATTGTTGCTTGCGGTTACACTGAAGAAGTTGCTGCGAAGGCTGTTTTGCGGTCTGGTCTTTGTTATGGGTGTAAAGACACCGTGTCTAATATAGTGGATAATACTTTAGTTTATCTAAGAAGTGGCCAAGAAATTGATCCTTCGAGGGATCACTGTTTTGAAGATCTACAGCAGCTGGAGAAGTACATATTGGCAGAACTGGTTTGTGTTCTTAGAGAGGTTAGGCCTTTTTTCAGCACTGGTGATGCAATGTGGTGCTTGTTGATTTGTGACATGAATGTCTCTCATGCTTGTGCAATGGATGGTGATCCCTTGAATAGTTTCATTAGTGATGGAGCTTCAAATGGAAGTTCCTCCGTCCCGAATCAACCCCAGTCAAAAACAGAAACCAAAAGTTCGGAATTGAATCTTCTGAATCCTTCCAAGCCAGTTCCTTCAGTTCCTGGTTCTCATAGTTCACAGTCTGAGACACCTACGATTGCAGGTGGGGTTTCAAACATAGCTAAACTGAAAAATTCCCTTGTTCGTAGTGTATCATTGTCTGAGAAAGAGGGTGCACAGTCCACATCTGAGAATGGGGATAAATCTTTTGGTGCATCTGGAACATTTCAATCTCCTGTGGTAGAGGAAAAGCTTTTAAGTAGTCGAAAGCTTCATTCTGTTACCACCAAGAGAGAATACATGCTTCGGCACAAGTCACTTCACTTGGAAAAAAGTTACCGGACTTATGGATGTAAAGGGTCTTCAAGAACAGGGAAGCTGAGTGGTTTGGGTGGTTTAATCTTGGATAAGAAACTAAAATCTGTGTCAGACTCTACCGCTGTTAATTTGAAGAATGCTTCCTTGAAGATAAGCAAGGCTATGGGAGTTGATGTGCCTCAAGAAAGTGGAAACAATAATCTTTCTGCCAATGCCGGGCCGTCTTCCCCTAGAGCATTTAACCTGGATGTTGAAAATACTGCTTCTGTTTTGCCTAAGAACAGTGTCCCGTCCATGTTACCTGCTGTTTGTGAAACGGCATTACCTGCTGTCGGTACTTCAACTGCATTACCTTCTGTCAATACTTCAACGGCATTACCTGTAGTCAATACTGCAGCTGCATTACCTTCAGCAAATACTACGCCTGCATTATCAGTTGCTGATACTGAGCTTTCCCTTTCTCTGCATCCAAAAAGCATTTCCAATCCAGTTCCTATTAGCTGTCACTCTGATGCAACTAATTCTGTTTTTGCTGGGATACCGTATGATAAATCCTTGGGGCAGTGGGTCCCCCGGGACAAGAAAGATGAAATGATTTTAAAGTTGGTTCCGAGGGCACGGGACTTGCAAAATCAGCTCCAAGAGTGGACAGAGTGGGCAAATCAGAAGGTTATGCAGGCTGCGCGTAGATTGAGTAAGGACAAGGCTGAACTTAAGTCATTGAGGCAAGAGAAAGAAGAAGTTGAGCGGCTGAAGAAAGAGAAGCAAACGCTGGAAGAAAACACCATGAAGAAGCTTTCTGAGATGGAAAACGCTCTCTGCAAGGCTAGTAGCCAGGTTGAACGGGCAAATTCTTCCGTCCGGAGGCTTGAGGTGGAGAATGCTGCCTTGAGGCAGGATATGGAGGCTGCGAAAGTACGTGCTGCAGAGTCTGCTGCAAGCTGTCAGGAGGTATCTAAAAGGGAGAAGAAGACACTGATGAAGTTTCAGTCATGGGAGAAGCAGAAAACCATGTTCAGTGAAGAACTTGCGACTGAAAAACGCAAGTTAAAACTGCTGCTACAGGAACTAGAACAAGCAAAAGATCTCCAGGAACAATTGGAGGTACGTTCTAAATACTTGATTTCCAAGTACTCCAAATTGGCAATTCATGCATGTGAAATTGTGAATTTATTTGGTTTGAGGTATTTGCACGTCTTATAACATGCTACTTCTTTGGGATGACAGATTATGAAATCGTTTGGAATATAAGTGGTACTTGTGCATGTTTTGTAATGAAGATGGTTTAGTCTTGTCATTTGCTTGCTATATATTTGCTCTCTCATTTTGGAGTTTATCATTATCTTATATTAGCACACATGCATGTACATGTGCAAACACACATTTTGTAACTTGAAAATCAGTCTCACATTGGAAGATATAAATTAGACGAGGGGATTGATGGACCGATGGTGTGAACTTTGAGAAACGGCATGTAACGGTGTTGTACAGCTCATTTTGATGAAAACTTGAAAATGTTGTGTTGTTGGTTTTACTCTATTTTCTTTCTGAATAGGTTTAATTCTGAGCTTCGTCTCACAAAGGTCAAGTATGTCGCAGGCTAGATGGCAACAGGAAGAAAAATCAAAGGCAGAAGTACTTGAGCAGGTCAGTTCGATAAAAAAAGAACGGGAACAGATAGAGGCTTCAACAAAATCCAAGGAGGATATGATTAAACTGAAAGCAGAAAACAATCTGCAGAAGTACAAAGATGATATTCAGAAACTCGAAAAAGAAATCTCTCAATTGAGACACAAGAGTGATTCTTCAAAAATTGCTGCGCTGCGGAGGGGCATTGATGGGAGCTACGCCAGCAAAGTAACAGACATCGAAAATGGCCTGGATCACAAGGGGTCCCGGATGCCATACATCTCGGAAGTAGTGAAGGATATTCAAGACTACTCTGAGACAGGAGGGGTGAAACGTGAACGGGAGTGTGTGATGTGCCTTTCTGAGGAGATGTCCGTTGTCTTCCTCCCGTGTGCCCATCAAGTGGTTTGTAGAACATGCAATGAGCTCCACGAGAAACAGGGCATGAAGGATTGCCCGTCTTGTAGGAGCGTGATACAGTGGCGAATTTCTGTACGTTATGCTCGTTCTTAAAAAAGTCCATAGAATCTGAGTGGAGTGTCCTGAATAAAGATTTGTGGGACTCGTATAAACTGAATAAATGCGTTTGGATCACTCCGTCGAGGAGTTTTTGACAGTTAAAATTTGCCTTGTATTCTGAGGTTTGATCATCTGGGAGGTTTGATCCTCTGTGTGGTTTGATAAGTTTTCACATCATTGTACTAATTTGAAATTTATAGAGGGCTATGAGTTGTTAGCTCTAAATTTTGTTCCCACATTGTGAATAAGTTTTAAATCATTCAAAAAACAAACGTTGTATGAAACCCAAAAAGAACGTTGGTAACTGTAGTTACATTTACAAAAACTTGAGATATTATTGCGGAAAGTGATTTTCGCACACATTTGACCTTCTGCGTGTTTATGCTTTAATTCTCATTTCATTTTATTCAATTTAACGTCTAATAGAAAAAGAGGGAAGCGCATGAAACACTAACCATTCTTTTCGATAGTCATAGGGTTGAATCCAAACACGACATAACTATAAATGGGTCGGCAGACCAAAAACATGAACACAACACTTGGCGGACAAAGAACATGAACACGACACAACCCATTCACACAGATTGTCACACTTGCTATATCATGAAGCAAGCATGCCTCTTTTTTCTATTTTGTTTTTTCTTTGTAATTTTAATCATCAAGATTTTAAATTGGGAGGAGAGTGTCATGTATGTGAGAATAAAGTCCTAAAAAGCGTTAGGCGCTAGTTGGGCGGTAGGTAGAAGCTTAGCGCTTAGCTGTCTAGGCAGGGTTTAGGCGGTTTTTCTAATTTTAATTATGTTTATTATAAATGTCCTCTTATACTTAAAAAAAAATACATAATTGTATTGAATACATAAATAGAAAAATAAAATTACATATAAATTATAAAGTATTTGAACATATTAAAAACATTGGGAACAAGCATATAATGAGTGTTCATCTATGTCACATCCCAACTCGGGTCCCCACCACATCCCGGGCTTGACTTTGTCGTAGCATGATATTGTCCACTTTGGGCCCCGACCGCACCCTCACGGTTTTGGTTTTGGGAACTCACACGTAACTTCCCAGTGCGTCTTCCATCATGGGATTGCTCTCGCATGCTACTCGCTTAACTTCGGAGTTCCTATGGAACCCAAAGCCAGTAAGCTCCCAAAAGGCCTCGTGCTAGTAGAGATGAGAATATACATATAAGGCTTATAGGATCCACCCCTTAGGGGTCCAACGTCCTCGTCGGCACACTTCTGACCAAGGCGCGATGTGGGATGTTGCAATCCATCCCCTTAGGGGCCGGAAGACATCCTCGTCGACACACTTCCGGCCAGGGATTGGTTCTGATACCAAATTGTCACATCCCGACCCAGGCCCCCACCACATCCTGGGCTCGACTATGTCATAGCACGATATTGTTCGTTTTGGGCCCCGACCACGCCTTCACGGTTTTGTTTCTGGGAACTCACACGAGAACTTCCCAGTGGGTCACCCATCATGGGATTGCTCTCGCACGTTACTCGCTTAACTTCGAAGTTCCTACGGAACCCGAAGCCAATGAGCTTCCAAAAGGCCTCGTGCTAGGTAGAGATGAGAATATACATATAAGGCTTATAGGATCCACTCCCCTGGGCGATGTGGAATATTACAATCTAAGTATTCAATAAGCCTCTTACAATTTATTGAGAAAGTATAATGCAAAATAAATGTTATCTATTTTATGTTTAAGTGAGAGTTGTGACTGAGGCGCGGGCCTAAGCAGGTCTGAAGGGATCTAAATGGGCTAGGCGGGCGCTAAATAAGTCTAAACATCATTTTTAAATTTTTAAGGGGGGTTTTGATATAGATGCCTAGGTTTTAAAATTTTGAAATTAAACATTTATACCTTTTAGAGTTTTGATTAAACATCTTCCTACAATTTAGGTGCCAAATGGATTAGAAGTAGCCTTTTTTATAATTTAAATTACCCAACTTGCCATTATATAAATATACCTTTTAATTCCTAGATAATACATCAAAACTCCTAAAATCTTGTTGATAAATATTGTAGAATTTAATTCCAATAAAAAGTCTTTCAAAATACACATAAATGTGACTTGCCATTATATTTAATATACCTTTTAATTTTCTTAGATAATCTCTCAAAACTCCTTAGATCTTGTAGATAAATATTGTAGTATTCAATTTTAGTAAAAAGTCTTTCAAATTACACATGAAATGTTGATTTCTTCTTGGTACATATTTGATACGTTACTTAATATATCTTCTTGGTTCATATTTGGTATGTTTGTTTTATTTTTTGTATGTATTTGGTACGTTTGTATTTATTTAAAAAAAAACATATTTGGTACATATATTTCCTCTTGATTAAACATATATTTCTCCTTGTTACATATTTGGTACGTTACTTTATATATCTTCTTGGTACATATTTGGTACATTCATTTTTTTTCTGTATGTATTTGGTACATTTATATATTATTTTGGTACATTTATATTTATTTAAAAAAACATATTTGGCACGTTACTTTATATATCTTCTTGGTACGTATTCGGTACGTTTAAATATATTATCTGAACACACTAACCTTAAAACCTCCGAAAATAGAGAATACGTCTAATTATCTCACATGATATCAATATAAAATAGTGAAAACAATCACTAATTGAAATGGATAAGTCCATTCAAAATTTAAAAATGAGGATCATAGAATTCTAACATGGGAGAAGAAACCAAACGACTCAAACGTGGAAGAAGAAACTTGCTTCCTAAAAAAAAGGTCACGTACATAAATATATCAACCTAAAGGGATATATATGGAATTTAATAATTAACATTTTAAATTTAAAAACAAAATAATTACATGTAATCTAAATAAATATAAAAATGCTGACATGGTTATTGTTTAAGCGTCGTAATCAAATTTCAAAATAGAACTAATGTTTAATTTAAAGAGTATTAGAAAAATGCAGGGGATTTTAGTTTTCCCAATTTTTAAACGCTTGAAGATTACTTAAGGCAATGACCAATTGCTTAGCATTAGATTTTTTATTTGATAAAAAAAAAGAGAGAATTTTTTAGCAATGTGTGAGGATAATAAAAGAGAGAGCAGGATTCCATGGTGACGATTGTCCACCAGCGAACCACGTGGCATGAGTTCTATAGATTCAGGTTTTCTCCGGAGGCAGGGGGAGGGGACGGGCCCCACCGTAACGACCATTTTTGGTCAAAATTATATTGTAAGTTTTGAAATTGTAACAGCCTTGGATTCGAGTTTGCCAAAGTCTTCATCTGAGCGTCAACCATAATAACTGACTTTTACCTCCTTTTTTTATCTTTTCCTAAGCAACCTGAAATACCTAAAACACCCTCATATTTCTTCCTCTTCAAGATGTAAATCGAATGAAATGAAGAAAATCAACGGACAAAAATTAACAAGGGATGTGTGGATAGCACACTCCTTCATTTTATTTTTTTAGGCAGCATCATTGTATTATTTATTTATTTTAAATATAAAAAGTCTGTCAGCAGATAATCTCCCTTCTAATGAAGTTTCTGTACCACATAAGATGATATCATACTTTGGTGTTTAGGTCAAATGATACATTTTTATTTAAAATTTTATTATTATTAAGGAGAAGAAGATGATATGAAATAATTACAATAATTTAAATGACGAAGAGTTTTGAACTCAAGACTCATGATATCCGTTTTCAACTAATTGTAAACTAAAAAAAGCTCTTCATATTACTTTTTACAACAATATGATTGGTAGTCGATTATGTTCCAAATTTTTATTGGCGCATGAATTGTGAATGGGCAGTTTAAAAGCTGAGTTAGCGCTAAAATTTGGTCCACTCATGTCACTCATCACACCGGTTACAGACAAAACAAGGACAAAACAACCGCCATTTTTGCTTCTCTGAACAAGCTCTACACCTCAATATCTCTTTGCAACTTTTGCAAATAGAAACTGACCTCTTCTGATCAGAAAAGCACTTCTATCTTCAGCAGGTATGTGTATGTGCATATTTGATCAAATGATTTCGGGTTCTGTTTCACTCTTTAATCCTTAACAAATTATTTCTGCAAGCTGTTATCGGCACTCTAAAGTATCCACCGATCATGGATTGAGACAAGTGCTAATACGAGAGACGGAGGAGTGCATGATGATTATTTTTGCATTGCTAATAACAATTCATGTTCGAATTTTTTGAAGATTAATTTTTATTGCTGGGAAGTAAACTAGTACTGATCAGTTACAGATTTTAGTATGATCTATATCCATTGGTTATATTTACTTGGGTTTCTCAAGCAGAGAGAGTGTAAAAATGTTATCCACTCTGAAAGGCATGCTCATAAGGACACCACCTGAGGTTTATAGGCAGAGATTGTTGAAGGGAAAATATGTGGATCAATTTGATCTTGTTAGAGAAAACCCTTCCTTCCATGGCCTCAACTCGTTGGGTCGAGTTGGCCTCAAGCGCTGTCACCCGCAGCAGATGCAAATTGTAAACGGGATAATGAACCCAAACCCGAAGAAGAATGAGCCAGGACACATCGAAGCAAAAGCTGTTCTGTCCCCAGTTGCAGATAAGACTGCACCAACAACCAGAAAGGTACATATATTGCATCCTTTTATTCAAAAGATGAAAATACCGCGTCGGATTATTCTAATCCTTGCAAGATCTTGGATCTCTTCATCCCTTGCTAATTAGTTTTCAGTCTGATGATTTAGTTTTGACTTGGTGTTAGAATAGTTTGTGACGTTAGAAATTGTAAAGTCCCGCGTCGAAACCTGACAAAATTAAAATAGAGCTTATATTAAGTGGTTTCATTCAACTTCCACTAATAATTTCATCGAGGTCTTTTGTATAAAACCTCACAATATTCGGATTGCACTCTAAACTCATAACAATATCACGATCAATTTGACTGGCAATCTGAACTACGTACAAGCATTTTGTTCATGGTGCCTGAAAGGTTTCTGTTTTGTTTCTACAGCGAGTATTTACATTTGGAAAAGGAAAGAGTGAAGGCAACAGGGCAATGAAGTCATTGGTAAGTTTTACTTCACTCTCGACATGCTACCAGTACGAGAAATGAAAATTCTAGCATTTTAGTTTGGCCGATTTTGGATAAGGAGTTTTACTTATATCTCAATCGACCAGAAATTTGTGCTACATAACGGAATTGTTCACTTTGTAATTGTCCATTGATCTACATGTCCGATTTAGTCTTAAAAATTGTTCAATTTGTACTTGTCCATTGATCTACATGTTCGATTTAGTCATAGAATCTGAATGCTTGTTCATCATGCCCATGCATTGTAGTTGGGAGGGAAAGGTGCAAACCTGGCAGAAATGGCTAGCATTGGACTATCCGTCCCACCTGGACTTACTATTTCAACAGAAGCATGCCAAGAGTATCAGCTGAATGGCAAAGATTTACCACAAGGTTTGTGGGAGGAGATACTAGAGGGCTTGGAGAGTGTGCAGAAGGACATGGGTGCTATTCTCGGTGACCCTTCCAAGCCTCTCCTCCTCTCCGTTCGCTCTGGTGCTGCGGTAAGAGTTCTTTCAGTTGCAACAACAGCCGTAGTGGCATTAGCTCACAAGGGCACATATGGAGAAACACTAATGTAATTTTAACAATGACACATTCACTACAATCTGTTTAATAAGAATTAGTTCATGTCGTGCACCAACTGATTTTCACTCTATATACCTAGATTTCCATGCCTGGCATGATGGACACTGTCCTCAACCTTGGACTCAATGACAATGTGGTTGCTGGTTTGGCCGCGAAAAGTGGAGAGTGCTTTGCTTATGACTCGTACAGGCGTTTTCTAGACATGTTTGGAAATGTTGTAAGTGCTTTTATTGATGCATTTCATAATGTTCATGTGTCTAAATTACGATTGTTTTTTTTTTCTTTCAATTTTGGCATAATAAACTCAAGCTCATCTTTTCTGTTTCGAGATGTATTCTGAATTCACCCGTTTTACGTTTGAAGGTTATGGGAATTCCACACTCATCCTTTGAGGAGCAGTTGGAAAAACTAAAAGGTACAAAAGGAGTTGAGCTTGACACAGAGCTAACAGCCTCTGATCTTAAAGAGCTGGTAGAACAATACAAAAATGTCTATCTCGAAACCACCGGTGAAAAGTTCCCTTCAGGTACAAAGTAAAACGCCGTCAACTTCCTCATATTTTCCACTTTTCCCGTAGCACAACTCTGTATGTTTATGTCCTTGTCCGCTTGTATATCTGCAGATCCAAAACAACAGCTTCTCTTGGCTGTTAAAGCAGTTTTTGATTCTTGGGACAGCCAAAGAGCCAATAAATATCGGAGCATCAATCAGATAACGGATTTGAAGGGAACCGCGGTTAATATTCAATGCATGGTTTTCGGGAACATGGGAAATACTTCTGGCACAGGTGTTCTGTTCACTAGGAATCCAAGCACCGGTGAAAGGAAGCTTTATGGAGAATTTTTAATCAGTGCTCAGGTTTTTGATACCACTATACCAAAATTCTCTTACTAAGTCGATATAGTAGAGACTATTTTTCTTATAGTTTTGTGAGAGTAACTTAATAATGGAATTGAATAGGGAGAAGATGTAGTTGCCGGCATTAGGACGCCAGAAGACTTGGATACTATGAAAAATTGTATGCCAGGAGCTTACAAGGAGCTTGTAGAGAACTGTGAAATTCTAGAAAAACATTACAAAGATATGATGGTATGAGTAGTCATTTTTATAGATGATCTTCCTATCAGTATTACATTCACATTTTTCGGTTTGGGGAACACATGTTTTTGTAGAACTAAAACATGGGGTATGTTTGCAGGATATCGAGTTCACAGTCCAAGAAAATAGGTTGTGGATGTTACAATGTCGCAGTGGAAAGCGTACTGGTAAAGGTGCAGTGAAGATAGCCGTAGACATGGTGAATGAAGGGCTTGTAGATAAGCGCACTGCAATCAAGATGGTTGAACCACAGCACCTTGACCAACTTCTTCACCCACAGGTCAATTTGTAATTTGTAATGTGGCCTTAATATTGACAGGCCTGACATGCATATACGTTTATCAATGTATCCATGTATGAAGACATTCAGGACTTATGACTTCCTTTTGTATAATTTTGTCTGGTCAGTTTGAGAATCCAACTGCTTACAAAGACAAAGTGATCGCCACTGGATTGCCTGCATCTCCAGGAGCAGCTGTAGGGACAGTCGTGTTCAGTGCTGAGGATGCCGAAACATGGCATGCACAAGGAAAGAGTGTCATCTTGGTGAAAATTTATCCATGTTCATCTTATTCACTGTTAACCTTTTTCTGTTTCCTACACACTTCGATAACTGAATTGTACATATAACTTTAGGTAAGGACTGAAACTAGCCCCGAAGATGTTGGGGGTATGCATGCAGCTGCAGGGATCTTGACAGCTAGAGGAGGCATGACATCTCATGCAGCTGTTGTAGCCCGTGGGTGGGGCAAATGTTGTGTTTCTGGCTGCGCTGATATCCGAGTAAATGACGCTGAGAAGGTGGTTTCCACTGTTTTCTCTATATAAACATGATCTGTTGTAGTTAAGTCCACAGAGAAAATGGCATAATTTGGTTTGTTCATTGATGATACAGCTGGTTGTGATCGGGGATACAGTGGTCGAGGAAGGAGAATGGCTCTCACTCAATGGTTCCACTGGGGAAGTCATATTAGGAAAAGAGCCCCTTTCTCCTCCGGCTTTAAGTGGAGATTTGGAAACCTTCATGTCTTGGGCTGATAAAGTCAGGCGTCTCAAGGTACCATATTTTTGTGCATTGTGGTTTTCATTGTTACCACTAGTAATTACTCAGTAAAAATTGTGTGGTAATGCTATAACAGGTTATGGCAAACGCGGACACACCTGAAGATGCGCTAACAGCAAGAAATAACGGTGCGGAAGGGATTGGACTTTGCAGGACAGAGCACATGGTAACTAATTTTAGTTACTTAAAAGTGTTTGGCTGGATATCCGTAATGTTATATGGTCTGCTGCAAGTTCTATCAATGTTGTAGTTTTGATTCTTGTTATTTCGTGTTAACAAATCATGTCATGTTATAGAGCTCTTCTGATTTTGTCACGCTTTTTATCTTTCAGTTCTTTGCTTCGGATGATAGAATAAAGGCGGTAAGAAAAATGATCATGGCAGCTACAACTGAACAGAGGAAGGCGGCACTGGACCTCTTACTACCGTATCAAAGATTTGACTTTGAAGGAATTTTCCGGGCAATGGACGGTATTTTTCACAAATGTTGATTAAAAACTTTGAAATTTACTTGTATTTTTACCTCATGGACCAACTATAAAACAAAATTTCCAAGGATTGTTAGGCTCTAAGGCTATATGTTTTAAATTCCTTAGATTTGTAATTGTAGCTTATTTATCACATAATTTAACAAATTTCAGGTCTTCCAGTAACAATCCGCCTGTTAGACCCTCCACTTCATGAATTTCTTCCAGAAGGTGACTTAGAACAGATTGTCGGCGAACTAACTGCAGAGACTGGCATGACTGAGGATGAAGTTTTCTCGAGAATTGAGAAATTATCAGAAGTAAACCCCATGCTTGGTTTCCGCGGCTGCAGGTTTGGTGTCTCTTCAATCTTCACATTAGTTCTCCAGTCTAAAGATATACTCGAATTTGTTCACAGAAAAAAAAAAAAAAAATCTACTCAAATTTAAATATGTTCAGATAAAAGCTCTTGATGAGCTTAATTCACTTTGTTAATTAGCTTCATATGCATCATTACTTGTTTTATCCATTTCAGTTTATTTTCACTCACAAAACGTGTTTACCTATCACTTTGAATTCGTTATAAACATAGTCCGGAAATATGGCACAATTTTGATATTTCAGTGTCAGATGTTTCCGTTGCCGGAAGGCTAATATGCTTAATGTCATAAACTTTGAGTGAAGAAGTTCATAGGTGCACAAATATGATCTCTTTGTTATTGATGAAGGGTTTGTTTTGATGTTTCAAAAGGCTCGGGATATCATACCCAGAACTCAGCGAAATGCAGGCACGTGCAATCTTTCAAGCTGCAGTCTCAATGAGCAACCAGGGTGTCAAAGTTTTCCCTGAGATAATGGTTCCCCTTGTCGGAACACCTCAGGCACGATCCTGCAATTCTTGTTCCTCCTTTTCTCGTTTCTTGTTATTTACTTATGATACTAGATTCATAATTCATTCGTATGAATTTGTGAGAAATTGTGAAGTGATGGAAATTCAATCCTCAACGAAAATTTTCCTTTCAGGAACTAGGACATCAAATGAGGCTCATTCAGAGTGTCGCGGGACAAGTGTTCTTCGAGATGGATACCACCTTGAGTTATAAGGTTGGGACTATGATTGAGATCCCTAGAGCTGCTCTGGTTGCAGATGAGGTAAGGCTAAATTGATAGGATGACTTCATTATTTTCAACACATTATTCATCATCATTTTTTATTTTATCTACGATGATAGATTGCGAAGGAAGCTGAGTTCTTTTCTTTCGGGACCAATGATCTCACACAAATGACATTTGGCTACAGTAGAGATGATGTGGGCAAGTTTCTACCTATCTACCTTGCAAAAGGCCTTCTTCAAAGTGATCCATTTGAGGTTTGTCACGTTTTATGCAAGTCCGCGCAGGCTCATTGCAGTTGGGTTTTTCACCAGAATCATCTGGATAACAGAATGAAAAAAAATTTCGACTCTTAACAGTCAAAATGCACTGCTTTCAGGTCCTTGATCAAGGAGGTGTTGGGCAGCTCATCAAGATGGCCACTGAAAAGGGTCGCGCAGCTAGGCCTAGCTTAAAGGTAACTGGAAATGCGAAGATTTGGAACATACTATAACAAATTGGGATGTCAATTTATATCGATGGTGTGTCATACAGTCCCAAGATTTTATTTTTTATTTTATTTTTTCCTGTTCTTCTCTGATATTTTCGCTCGGTGATTATAAACTAACAGGTTGGAATATGCGGAGAGCATGGTGGGGAGCCTTCTTCTGTTGCATTTTTCGCGGAGGCCGGATTAGACTATGTTTCGTGTTCTCCGTTCAGGTTCGTTTTCTTTTTATCTTTCCTATTTAAGTTGCCTGGACTAATTTTATAACCAGATCAAATTCCTGATCGTAAATTCTTGTACAGGGTACCTATTGCTAGGCTAGCAGCAGCTCAAGTAGCTGTCTGAGAAAGATTGCATAACCGGCGACTCTGCACTTGTAAATATCTGCAGTTTATTTGTTGTTCATACAAATCCTCTATCATTATGTAGAAACCAAAATATAGGGGAAAATAACATATGTAATATACGTATATGTATATATATTTTTTTCATATTACTTTACAAGAACAGGAAAAAAACTAAATTAGGGAATGTGGATAATTCTTCGGCTTCGATGTTTTGGGAATAAATTCTGTGTAATATTAAACAGGGTATGACTTGGTGTAAATGTACAAGTTGCATGGGTAAAATGCTATTTAACTCCCTGAACTATTACCCCAGTTGAAATTGACATTCTAAATTATTTTTTTTGGTAAATTAACCCTATGAACTGTTTAAAATCAGCCAATTAACCTCTTGCCGTTAGGTTCCGTCCACCATCTGTCATTACACATTATTTTGTGTCCATATGTCATAAATTTATTGGTGGTTATAGTTGACAAGTAAGAATTGATGATGAAAAGATTAATTTGCCCTTGAATTTGACGAAATAGTGGATGAAATCTACTGATAAGGGGTTAATTGGCTAATTTTTCAGTTGGGGTGATAGTTCAAGAGGTCAAATAGCAGTTTACCCAAGTTGCATTCATGTGTTTGGATTGATCATATAGAGCAATCTACAGACGCTTAAAACTCAAGCATTGCTGCAGACTTAAACATCTCCCTAGAGGGCATGCATGAGATTCGAACAGATCAAACTTGAGCCAGAAGCAATATCTTCAGTAAATTAAAATAAACTTGGTGCAGAGAGGAGGACAATGGTAGTAATTATATGACGTGTTTGTTAGAAGGCCTCCTACACCACCAAAATTTGAAGCGCTTATAAGCAGAAAGCACTTCCTATAGAAGCAGATTGAAAGGACAAAAGGGGAAAACTAGGATTTTGATCATAATTTAGCTTGTCATTAAGCGTTCTGAATTTTCATTGACAGAGTGGTGCTTATCAAGGTTTTCATGTGTCTGCATTAGCTTGTCAGCAACCAATAGAAGTTTCAAAATTTTATCCTCTTAGCTTTAGCTTGTCATCAAATTATGTTTTTCCACTCTTAATTTTTCTTCAATTGTTATTTTTAATGTTCATATCTGCTAAGAATTTGAAGTTCCACGCCAAAAATTCCAAGCCTTTCAGCTAAGAATGCAATTCATAGTACATTTCCATCCACCGCTTCGGTTTCACTCCTTTAATCATATGTTTAATAAATAAGGGCCGGTGATTTGAACTTGGAACTTCTTCCAACTTAAAAGTTTAGTAATTTATGCAAATTGAACTAATAAGATAATTTGCGCCAGAATCATATTTTCAATAAATAACGGACGATATTTGATTCGAACTTGGAACTGCTTCCAACTTTTAAAAAAATATACGCAAATTGAACTAATAAGATAGTTTGCGTCAAATTCAAACCTATAAACATCAAAGTGAAGAGTACTCGAAATTATGATCAAAATCATAGTTTGCCTTTTTTTTTTTTTTGGGGTAAAAAAATAGAAAATCAGCAGAGTTTAGGGTTTTGAGTGAAAAATAAAAGAAAGTAATAAATTAACAAAACAAAAAAAAAAAAAGGATTATTTCTAAAATCAGCAAAAGTGTAAAATGGAGGGTAGAGTGCTATGCGGTGGTGCCCAACAACATAGCTAAGAGGCACAACGTGGGCAGGCTCGCCTGAAGTGCCACCTCCTTCAGCGCTCGGAGCTCATTTTGATCAGCCACCGAGACTTCAACGCCTTCAGCAGCCATGACTCCACCTCACACACACCTCCGCTTTTGCCACTTCTACTGCCTCCAAGACACTCGCCTCTTCCTCAAGGTGCTCCTCCTCCCTTCCATTCTTTGTCTAAATGCCATGTTCTTGAACAATGTCTAACACTTCCTCGAGCTTGTAGACCTGGCAGGCTTGCAGCACGTACGTTGAACCTATATCCATATCCCACATGGCATGAGCTCTTTGGTTTCAGATTTTCTCCGAGGGGGAGGAGGAGCCAGCGTCACCGTAACTCCTCTTTGGTCAGAAATTATATCACGGGAGTTTGCCAATTCTATAACCGGACATCGTCAGCAATAATAACACCTTTTTTCATTTAAAAAAAAGAAAAGAAAAGAATCTAATATTATAAATAAAAAATAACAAAAATACTCATATCCAAACGATAAGGACTGGTTTTGTCAACTTGACTCTAGATCCCCATTTTTGTCTCATGGTGAACTAAAAAAGCTCTTAATGCAGTTTCCAAACATTTAGGGTATTGAATGAAAAAAAAAAAAAATTAATTACAATAGTCAGCACATGTGAACATACCATTAGTAAGCAAAAATTTTAAAAACTATCCTTTTAGCTTGTCATCGAACTTTGTTTGTGTGCTTATAATTCTCTTCAATTCTTATTGTAGTATTCATGTGTGCTGAGAATATTAATAACAATGCACAAATCAAACTAATGAGTTATTTTGCGTCAAAATCACAATTATAAGCATCAAAGTATATGGAGTAATCTAAATTAGTATTACACTCATAGTTTCCCTTTTTTAATAAAAAAATAAATAAGTAGGGTTTAGGGTTAGGGTTTTAGGTGAAATTACAGAAGAAAGAAACAATAAACAAGAAATGCGATTATTTCTAAAATGAGGTGGTTATTGACTAGGTTTGGTTGGCGGCAACTAATGGCTCGTTTGGATGTGTTTTTAAAATGATTGAAAGCGATTTTAGAGGAAAAATATTTTTTAGTTCCAAAAGTACTTTAAGTGCTTTTTGCAATAAGTATCAGTTATGTGTTTCTTCCAGAAAGTACTTTAAGTGTTTTTCCAGAATTTACTTGTATTTTTTTTATTTATTAATGATTTGTTCCAAAAACGCTTTTAGTCATTTTAAAAGCATATCTAAATGTTATCCGAGCCACCTGAACTGAAATCATCGAAAGGGGAAAATGGAGGTAGGGTGCTATTTGCTGGTCACATGGCGTATCGTTGGTACTCTCGCACGGATAACCACCGTCTTCGGTATCTCGAAGCCGATTTCTGGTCGGCTGCCCTTTTGGTCAGAAATTATATCATAGTACAGATTTGGACTCGCTAGTTTGCCAAGTCATCATCAGACACTGTCAACCCTAATAACAACTTTTTTTCCAAAGGTATTAATATTGTATAAAAAATGTTACTCATTATCCAGATGATAAGCGCTGATTTAGTAAACTTAACTGTGCCCGGATCTAGATCTTCGTTTTCAGCTCATCACGAACTAAAAAAGCTCTGAATATTATTTTTTACAACAAAACAATTAATAGCTGATAATGTTTGATTTCTTACATGTCATCACCTACGCCTCGTGGTTGTGGCTTTAAAAGGAGTTAACGCCATAATTCATCACACCCTATTACAGTCGCAAGCAAAGCAGGAGTTGTAGCTCAGGTTCTCTTTACAACTTCTGCAGGAAGTTCTCCACTCTTCTCCTGATCCGATCTTCATCAAGTACGTATATGTGCATATTCATTCGAATGAAACTGGATTCTGTTTCACTCTTTTGATACAAAACAAATTCTTTTTCAAAGATGTTATTGGCACTCCAAAACAGTCAATCATGCACTCGTCCATAATGAATTTTACCAGGGTGGAGGAGTGCAAGACAAATAATTTGCAGTGTTTATAACAATTCTCTTTTTTCAATCCATCATCATGATTCTATTAAGATTTCAAAACAACTCTCTGTGCGGGAGCTGATCGGCCCTCCAAATAATCCATCATGCATTTCTCCCTAATGAAGGCCGCATGAGTGCATGATGACTATGTTGCAGTGGTTATAACTATTCAATTTTCAATCCAATTAGTATGATTTCAATTAAAACTATTTTATATTGCTTAGAAGTTGACTAGTACTCATCAATTAAACATTGTTGTATGATTAGTATACATTGGTAATATTTACTTCGGTTTTTCAAGCAGGGAGAGATTGGAAAAATGCCTTCCACTGTGAAAGTAAACGGGACCACGAACCCAAACCTGAAGAAGTATGAGCCAGCACAAAGTCAATCAAACTCCGTTCTGTCCCCATTTGCTGATCAAGGTGCACCAGCAATCAAAAAGGTACTTATATTGTATCCTTCTGTTGAAAATATAAAAATCCCGCCTCAGATTATTCTAATCCTTGGGACATCTCGGGCCTCTCCATCCGTTCATAAATAGTTTTGAGTCGGATTCTTTAGTTTTAACTTGGTATTAGAGTGATAATTGGTGACATATATGTCGACGATTATAAAGTCTCAAATCGGAAACCTGAAAAAAAAAATGTAAATAGAGCTTATATTGAGCGGTTCTATTACTAATTATCATGATCATTTTGATTAGTTTTGAACTATGTACAAACATTTTGTTCAAGGTGCCTCAGTAGTTCCTAAAAGGCTTCTCTTTTGTTTCGACAGCGAGTATTTACTTTTGGAAAAGGAAAGAGTGAAGGCAACAAGGGAATGAAGTCATTGGTAAGGTTTACTTTACTTTCGACATGATATCAGTACGAGAAATGGAAATGCTAGCATTTTGTATGCCCCGATTTGCAAGAGGAGTTTTACTTTTATCTCAGTCGAACAAATGTCTATGCTACGTAACTGAATTCTGTATTCATCATGCTGATGCATTGTAGTTGGGAGGAAAAGGTGCAAACCTGGCAGAAATGGCTAGCATTGGGCTATCCGTCCCACCTGGACTTACTATATCAGCAGAAGCATGCCAAGATTATCAGCTCAATGGCAAAGACTTACCACAAGGTTTGTGGGAGGAGATATTAGAGGGTTTGGAGAGTGTGGAAAAGGACATTGGTGCTATTCTTGGTGATTCTTCCAAGCCTCTTCTCGTCTCTGTACGCTCTGGTGCCGCGGTAAGAGTTTTTTCTTCTAATTACAGACGTTATGGCTTCTGTAGTTATTTTAGCAATGGCACAATGGACTACAGTCTGTTTAACAATGATTAGTTTATGTCGTGCACAGACTGATTTACGCTATGTACCTAGGTTTCCATGCCTGGCATGATGGACACTGTCCTCAACCTTGGACTCAATGACAAGGTGGTTGCTGGTTTGGCCGCAAAAAGCGGAGAGCGCTTTGCTTATGACTCGTACAGACGTTTCCTAGACATGTTTGGAGATGTTGTAAGTGGTTTTATTGATGCATTTCGCAATGTTCATATGTGAAAATTTATGATGTTTTTCTCAAGATGTATTCTAAATTCACCC